TCAACACTGTACGATGCATACACAACAAGATGGGCCAGAAGAAGTACGAGAAGAATGTTACAGAGCGGATTGTGAAAAGAACAAGACATGTATGCGACCCTTTTCAAGAAAAACAACATGCCTTTGTTCAGTCGACCACCGTTGAGGGTTCCATCTCAAGCAACCCAGATGGTATCGTCTCTTAAGAGTGACTGTCCAGCACACGAGAAAGAAACTAGAAGGCTGATCTCACAGAATACCTGGACAAGCTCTGTACATTCAGTGGAGATGACTCAGTAGTCGATGTTATAATACTGGGTGGTGTTGTAATCATCGATATGCTGAAACCAATGGGCACAAAAACCTTCAAGGAATGTCAAACCAGTGTTTCTACCCTACATCAAATCCCAGCTCAATCATGTAACAAGAGTTGACATAATTTGGGATGTTTACCTTCCAACGAGCCCTAAGTCCACAATGAGAGAATAGTGAGGAAAGGGTGTTATGAAGCGCGTTGCAGCAGTCAACACTATTTCTGGAAATTGACAAGAGTTCTTATGACTAGATGACAAGTCTGAACACTTCGATTACTTGGCACATCAGGCAAACTATCTACATGTTTGTTAAATTATTGCACTATCGACAATTGATAACAGGCTCGATACCATCGATACCAACTTTTTATGGATAAGAAAGTGTACACAGAGTGTGAACAGAATGTGCCTTGCACCAGATTCACCAGGAAGTGGAAAGAGTGGAGAAGACCAAATGGGTCAGAAGATGCACAAGGGTAAGAAAATTTAGAGGTAGATCAGTTGTCGTTTTCATCGAGCAGTCATTTGTCGTGCTGACCTTCCCACACTTGCGACCAAAGGTAACACCTAACCTCATAATGAAACTCACCTTATTCTTTGACACAATAATATGTACTATATCATCCTTTATTAACTGTCCATGTTTCACTCTCCTCCCTCCTGACCTCTTAGGGTAACCTCTACATGGGATCTTCCCATTATTTGTACATAAACAGTATGCTTAAAGTCAGTAACATTATGTAGTGTGTCATATACACCACTGCACCTCTTTGTGTACCCACCTTCCACACTCATTGGACATTACTGAGTTGCTGCCAATAGCCTTCTTATAAACAATACTGCATGCCATTTTCCAACACAGATCTTTCACCCACACCACTACAAATAACTAGTAAAAACTTTTGTTTTCACCACATTTACTTTCATTCCCTTTGACTCCATTCCATCCTTCATTTCTCAAATTTCTCCCAATACTGTGCCTCTTCAATACTATCTGCTATCAACACAGGGAGAAAAATATGGAGTGTAAGCACATTTTAAATGTTCTGACCAGAAGCTCTCCAGAATGACCCACTTCAAGCAAGTTGGCTGGAGTGTGGCTTGATACTGTACTGTACTAGAAATCTAGTAGGGCCATCAGCAGACAATGGACAGTCTGTGTGCACAAGCTATTGTAGCATCGAAAAGTTATTTGACTCTCTGCCTAAGTAGTAAACTTTCATGTGACTGATCCATCTTGAAGGTAGGGTTGCAAGAGGAAAGTTGTATTACAGTATTGCAATTGCTTAATTAGTGCCAGTATCAAGGACATGTGTTAGCCTGTGTTGCAACCTGCAGACTCTATAGACTGAGGACAGGCTTTAAAAACACTTTCAAAAATCTTAAATGATTGATGAATATCATTCAAACCCAAATATACTGTACAGTACTGTACACATGGTACTAATAACAACTGTAATGTTCAGTCAACAAAAAAAAATTCTGCACCCTCATGGTGTTATACAATATGACACACCAAACCAAGAATTCTGAACAACACTCATTTACACAGGTTATTCTTGTTAATTTCTCTATATTAACTCTATGTGATATAAAAAATACATCATACTGGTTATACAATGCATCACACAACCAGAAATACCAACCTTACCAAATTAACATGGCCTCAGTCAATGATCGTTGCAGAGGCCATCAGACCAAGGGGTGCAGAATTTTTTTTTATGACTGTACAAGCAGGTAGTTATGGTTAACTGTCATTAGCATGAAAAATGGCCATAAAACAATGATAATGATGACCCTATACTCAGTCTGCCATTCAACAATACACCGAATACAGTGTGTTTAAAAACACCATAAATGAGAAACTTATTCTCATTTCCTTTTCAAATCTCTCTTCACATTCAAGTAAAGTATTTTCATACAATTGTCATTCACTACACTAGCAAGATCTAATTTCATGTTGGAGAATGATTTTTTCCATTTTACATCATATGCCCCAAGCAAAAACTGCACATTAAACTCCAAGTATTGTAGTGTACGTTATTATTTACACACAGAATGAAGTATGTGTTAAATTATATAAAACCCATTTACCAAAGCTATTTGAGTACACCTGTAAGCTGTAAGTTTGTGGTTAATGCAAATTTTTTTCTCCAGAAGCTACAATGTCTTTGACAAGCTAATAATAACAAGTGAAAGTAGGGAAAATTGGATTTACATCCTGGCTCAGGGATCCAAAACTTTTCTGTTTATTTATCCAATATTTCATTATCCATCACAAACTTTTATATCACTGCAGGAAAACAAACAACTTATGATAAGATAAATTTAAGCACTTACATGGCCTTGATCTTGATCGACTGTGAAAGGTGCAGTAACCTTGTCTATATGACAGCCAAACAGAGAATGACCCAGCCAGAAGCAGTAGGTACTCAACATAAGACCCCAAAGCAAACCTCCAGCAGCTACATCCTTGGCCACGGGAGGGTCAATACCTATCAGGCGTTACTCCAGCTGCGGCAGCTGCCCTGGCTAATGTTGGCCCATTCCCCAAGTCCCTCCTCTCAACCACTCTTCCCCACCAGGATATCAACATAATCCTGCCAAAAGTAAAAATTTCATTTTGGAAAGAAGTGGATCAGTGTTGAACAGTGTTTAACACAGTACCAGCAAGAGCCGTAACCTACGAGTGAGGCCCACACCCTGAGATAAGCACCCCTGAGAACCGACCACCATCTTCTGACCAGTCGGTATAATGTTAATCAGTCCACTCTGGGAGCAATCTTGGGTCTGCTTTACACCTGACCATGAAATAACACAACACAACTTAGCAGAGTGAGGTACTGTGATACCACATTACAACACACAACCCGGTGTCTCATACTGTAACACCATACCACACGATGCCTCCATGACAACGAAAAGTCCTTCATATCAACACACAAGGACGAGTTACTGCACCACGTGGACACCACACCACCCGGTGTCTCCATGACCACGTGAGGTCCCTCATCAACATCCAAGGACGGGTTACTGCAGTACATGGCCTATGTGACCTCACACCGCAGGGCAATATACCAGCTCCTGCCATCAACTGTAACTATAATTTGTATGTTCAATTCATGAACCTTCTCATTTTAGTAATGAAAGCTTTTGTTAAATGACCCACCCACCCCATGTCTTTGTATGTAATAAGTCATTTCTGTTCAATGTATATTTTCAGCCTTCAGGCTACTGAACTTTTTCAATAAACCGTAAATAATTATTATTATTATTAGTTCGATGGCTCATTAAGAATATCATATCCAAGATTCACAAATATGATGTCCATCGAGCAAACAAATACAGTACCACAGATGTACACGAATCAAAAAATATTTACAATGAACACATTATAAAGAAGAAAGGCAATAATTCACCCGAGCTCACTGCAAACAAGTGCCGCACTGAACCTATCGACTTATTGTAAAGTTACAAAACATACACTGTTGCCTAAGTGCTGTTATTATTTAAATGCAAACAATATTACTGTATTAGTTCTTTAACAAAAACCATGAACAACCGAGTGTTTTCTTGTTACAACTAACCATTAGTACAGTACAGTAGTATACAAGGACTGTACAAGGGGTCCCTGTTTTTAAGTCAGAACAGTATATTCATAGCCCAAGTCCTTATACAGTAGCCCATTGCCATTCGCGATTTCAACAATTTGCGGTAAGTAGATGATGGCTAGCTTGTGAGCCTTTTCCCGCAGTCCAATGAGTCACCCATGCACCAGCAGCGTCTCCTCTCGCTCTGTTCGCACTGAACCATTGCATGTGACGCAGCATCTCTTGTTGTACGATCAAAACTTTAGTGTCTCTGTGTGAATTGGCCCCTAAAAGACTGCCTAGCGTCAGTACTGGTGGAGTGATATGTAAAAGGCAGCAGTCAGTGATGACCCTGACAAAGAAAGTTGAATTATAATATAAGTTAAAAGAGGGGATGAGTGCTGCCATGGTTGTTTGGTATAGGTATACAGTAGTGCACTAAGGGAGTATAAGTTGCTACGGTATTCGCAGTTTTGCCTATTTGCTTCATTCCTTGGAACCCCCCCCCCCGAATAACAGAGTTTACTGTATACATCTAAAATCATTTAATTTAAGAGAAAAGAAAAAATTGAATGACAAAATACAGTAAATAAAAGTAAAAAATAAGTCATCAGGTAAATAAAATACTGTTCGTTCTGCAAATTTCAAGTTTAACCCTGTATATATATATATATATATATATATATATATATATATATATATATATATATATATATATATATATATATATATATATATATATATATATATATATATATATATATATATATATATATACAGTATATACATATATATATATATATATATATATATATATATATATATATATATATATATATATATATATATATATATATATATATATATATATATATATATATATATATATATATATATATATATATATATATATATATATATATATATATATATATATATATATATATATATATATTGTATATATATATATATCCATAAAAGGATATGACATGATAGCTTGCAGTTAAAAATAAACTCCAATGAACTTTGGAAAAAAATATACTGTAATACTTTTATGATACAAACTTTTCCACAATCTAAATACAGTACCTATTAAAGATACAAAAACAAAGACATGTACCTTCATATCACAGTTTATTATTCTATTACATTTGTTAGCATTTTATACAAAAATTACTCTAAGTCTTCCGGAAATCTTCCGTGGATACACCCAGTTGTATGTATCTACAACTTGCTGTAAGGCGGTTGGTTCAATACGGGTGACAACACATTAGTGATCCCATGGGCCTCCCGTATTACTTCTAGGATATTGTGGATATACCTCCACCTTGTCACATTTACCATCTCCCCATTTTTCAATTGGAACAAATTAAAAAGTGAAAGCTTGAAAGCAATGAAAAGATGAGTATAATTTATATTTTATAGACGTTTTGACTTGCAATATATTAAGTTACTGTAAATAAAATGAGTTCCATTACTTTAAAAAAAACTGGCAATAAAAACAAAAATTAAATCTTTGAAAAAGTAGGCATTAAAGACACTCAGCATACATAGTGGTACCTGTATATGACAGTAGCCAATTTAGCTTTACAACTCCCCTGAAGTACTAAAGAACATGTTTCTTTATGCCATGTTGCAAGATGAAGGCTTTTTAATTTCAATAAATAAAATACAATAATAAGGAATGATACAGACACCACCAAAAAGTAGTTTGGAGAAATAGAGAAAGATGACTTGGCAAACAAGAAACCACCAACATTCAACGAGACAAAGATAAAAATAAATAAGTTATATTTTGGACAATCTTTTCTTCACTATTATCAAACACTCAAGACACAATCAGCATAAGAATAGTTGGAGTAGAAAAGAGAATGAGACATCCCAAGTGCATTTCATATATAAACTGAAATAACAATGCATAACATCCAAGTAAATTTGTATAAATAAGAAGATACATAAAAGAGAAGCAAAAAAAAAAAAAAAAAAAGTATCATACAATTTAATACTGAATGGATTTTGTGCTCTCATGGGCTCCGGGTGATCAGGAAGGTACTCAATGATGACTTCCTGCAGATTAGGATAGTGTTGCTCTGATGGTTAATGGTGATTAGGAAGCTGAGCTATGATGGTTAATGGTAATTAGGATGGTGTTGTTATGATGGTTAATGATGATTAAGATGGTGGTGCTATGACATTTAACAGTGATTAGGATGGTAAAGCTATGATGATTAATGGTGATTAGAATGGTGGTGGAATGATGGTTTGATGGTGATAAGGATGGTGTTGGTATGATGATGATGATTAGAAGAATGTTAAGATGGTCATTGGTGATTGGAATGGTGCTGCCATGATGGTTAATGGTGATCAGGATGATATCATTATGATGGGGTACTGGTGATCAGGATGGCATCTATCACAATACTGGGAGGATGAGTTAGGAATGATAATACAAAAGTATTCCAAGGTTTTCCATCAGACTCCTACAAGACATCACAATGAGGGACATAGAAAAAACAAAATAAGTTAAAAAAAATAAATAAACCAAAAATGCTTTTATAATATTACCAACAAGAATTTGTAATTAATGACTGCCGAGATCAATTATATACATACAACACAAAAGCTGCCCAATTAATAATATCCACCCGACCTTAATTCACCCCACTTTTATTACTGTTTGACTACACAGTCAAAACTTGAGTGAGGTAACACGAATAAGACCCCTTTATGTGAATATATATAATGGCTTCCCATTAACTTGCATTTGCTGTGTGAGAGAGAAACTGTTGGCTCGTAACAAATTCCACCCAACAACCTCCGCTTGCAACTGACAGAGGAAAGCAAAACTGTTTGAGACTAGAGAAGGCAAGCTTGAGGTGAGGAAGTTGATTTCTAGAAAGGGAGGTAGATTGTAAATGAACAATTAAGTAATCATTTTTAAATGTCATTATGATAAAAGACAAATTGGACATTACTGAAAAATTATTTGTCATTTAACTGAAAAACAGAAAACCTTACATTAAATATTTCATAAAAAAATAACAACTCAGGTTATAAGAGGCCAAACTCATCCCTGCAGTGAAGGTTGTAAAGCCAGAGGATGAGACAATAAGGGAAAATTTAAAGCTACAGGTACAGTATAAATAAGTTACAAGTGAGAGACATGTTCACGATTAATGCATATAAGAACCAAGACCGTGATAATCATCTTCACTATCCTTCAAACAATTCAGTGATGTGTGCACATCATCTTTATCACCAGCACTATAATGAATGACAACAATGATTTTTTTGTGCAGAGGCATGAATAAAATCTGAATTATCAAAACAATTGTAGCAAGGTGCAGAGATATTTGGTAAGAGTAATATTATGTAACGTAATGATGAACTCAATAAAATGATAGAAAAAAATATTTATTAAACTGATGAAAGATATCAAAGACAAAGTGAATTTATGAAACACAGGCTTGGACATTTATTCCAAACAATATGCTATGTGGTATAAAAAAAAAGGTATTGAAATCTTGCCTCTGTACTGACTGGTAACTGCTATAGATCATCATTGCACTAATGACTTCCAATATTTTAAAAATAGTGAAGGTGTTTGTCACTGTCCTGCTTTTCTTGTTCATCATGGCATGACCCCTAAGGGCAAATCCTAGGTATATTTTTTAAGAAATGCATATACAAGAGCTACATTTTGAACAAAGGTGTGAGAAAATAATTGCCACAATAAATTTGTCAAAAAGTGATGTATGGAAGCAAGATTTAGTCTGTTTACCAAGACAAATGGTGAGAATTTATTAAGTAAAAGGTAAATATGTTAATTATCTTAATAAATAAGTTGAGAGATCTTTTATCATGAAGATTTCATGAAAAATCCTTTCCCAAAACATAAGGTAAAATTACCTTGGGTATATGCATAGCGGCACTAAAAAAAATAATAATAATAACAATAATAAAGAAGAGCACAATGGATGCTCGTTTGGCACTTGAATCTGGTAATATCAAACGAATTACCAGCATGGTTTGTTGTAACGTATACTATAATTTTACCTGGTAACACAGTAAATATACTTTACCCATGTCATTCCTCAGATGTCATTCAATCTTGCCTTCCATGGCACTACTCCAAATGAAAAATAGTTCATCCCCCCCCTCACAACTTTATACTATATTTACAAACAATGTACACAGTAATCTACCTTCTCCTTTTGAGAGGCAACTATTGGCAACTGGATATGGAAATTAATGCCCATTTGGAATGAACAATTATTCATAATTACCTGCAAACCTTAACTGCTCATATCAAATTATCTATGTTTATATACTGTACTTGGAAAGCTAAGGCCTATACAGTGGCTTGGAACTCCATGCATAACAATGCCCTTATGGTATACAATGAAAAATGCACAGCAGCACTGCTGAAAATCAATTCCCTCGAAATAACACTAAATTAAGAAATGATGATGATGAGAAATATTGTATGAAAACATGAAATGGAACAGGCACATAATCTTTAGCCAACTCTTATAAACCATCCCCTTGCTCTGCATTCTAGCTTCAATAAAAATATGTACATATTTCAATACTGAACTGGGATTTTTCTTTTAAATGTTTTGAGATTTTGCAATAAACACATTACAGTACTTACTTAAAAAAAATTATTCTTAGCTCGACAATGAAAAGGTCTGGACATAAAATGGGTTTTTGAGTAACTATAAATATTCTCTTGACATGGGTATACTAACCTATAATATTCTATCTTATGAAATAGGAAAAAAAAAATCCACAGCCTTTATCGAGATCTTGCATCAACACTAACTCTTATGTTGACGACCATAACCTGCTAGAGCTAGGTCTCACCAGATGATTCAGTGAAGTGTGTGGAAACAGTTTAGAAAGATCAGCTGCCAAATATACACATCAACCCGCATTGTCAGGTACTATTCACTCTGCCTCTTATAATTACAACAGAATTCCAGAGGACAGAGGAGCACTAGGCACTGCAATTTGAATGATGTTGCACCCAGTGTTTTCAATAACCTGCATACACCCAAATTCTGGTTATAACCCCTGAATTATGTTCAGGAAGCCATTAGTAAGTAATATTCAAATGACCCATACAAATTAATGATGGGAACATTTGTGGTAGAGGCACTCTTGTGCTGGCTGTTACTAGCACCTACTTATTGAGTCTAGCAGTACTATACCTCCTAACAAACAGGACTAATTATATCTGGAGACATCATATACAGAAACAGTTGTCCTGGTCCCATTTTCTTGGAGTTAAATAACCAAACAAAATCATGATCTGCTCATATACAAGTGTGTGACACTTTGCTTATGTGATTCTGTTACCTACAGACTAGTGTAAGGGAAACCTGTAGGCCGTACTTGAGTTGGTGCTTGTCCTGGGGCAAACATACCAGGCTGCATACACGCAGAGTATAAAGGCTGCTGTGTCTGTAAATTGAGGGGTAACTGGACGTGAGAATAGGCAGGGTAATTAGTACTGATGGGTGCATGTGGCATGGAAACAGGCACCCCAGGATGAGTGTTCGGTGGAACAGTAGCAGTAGGTGTTGCTGTTACTGGAGGTGTATTACGAGCATCCTTTGGGGGCTCCTGTGGTGGTTGTGCTGGTTGCTGTTGCATCACCTGCTGAGCACCCGTGTCTACACGCTGTTGATCTTGTCTCTGATTTTGTTGCTGTTGCTGCTGCTGCTGTTGTTGTTGTTGTTGTTGTTGCTGTTGTTGTTGTTGTTGCTGCTGCTGCTGTTGTTGTTGTTGTTGTTGCTGCTGTTGCTGCTGCTGCTGCTGTTGCTGCTGCTGCTGCTGTTGTTCCTGTGGCTGAGCCGGTGGATTCTGTGCACCAGTGGCATTGTCATTTTCCTCGTCGTCATCATCACTTGGACCCATAGCACGTTCAGCCTTTTTGTCCATTCGGAAGAACTTAACATTGGGAAATTGCTCTTTCATGAAATGTCTGAAAGATGAATAACCCATTACCTTGACATCTGGCTCAAAATGTTCACAATATTCCTTATAGGCATTGTGAATCTTCTTTCTTGTAATATCAGCTGGTAGATAAACTGGAGGAGATTTGCCCGATTTATTCGGTTTCTTAGGAGTGTTCGTGTTTGGGGAATATCTAGCAATGTAACTCTGTAAAAAAGCAGCAGCATGCTGATAGGTGTCAAGAGGAAATGTGTTTGGTGGTTTTTTACCATGGTTGCCATGCACTCTAGGAGTAACACCATTAACCATAACATGCTTTCTAATGGCTTTCAGTTGATAATGTGTACAGTTTTCCAAGTATAAGAAAGCATCTAGGCATACTTTCTTCCCTTGGAAGACATACGATGCCCTGAGTCTTTTCCTTTCTTTGTGACGCGAAGTTTCTTCTGGATTAGCTAAACATGCCATTGTCACTCCCATTAGGTACATGTCGTGTTCATTCTTGGTTAATTCTGCGATATTTAATCTGTGTCGAAACACAAACTCTGGATTCATATTTTTGAAGCAATTGTCTCCCTCACACTCACAACCTTTCCCAAAACGTTCTCTCACTTGATCACTATTTTCCTCTAATTTTGTGGGGTCAATACCCTCCGCTAAAAGATCTGCCAATTTTCTCTTCTTCTTAACTTCTTTCTTGATTTTCGGTTTAGTTTCAGGTTCTTCTTCATTAATATCATTGGTGTTGAGTGTGGTATCTCCTTCCTGGCTCTGAATATCACTCATGGTGTAGTTGGAGTTCATGCCATTCTGGCCATCTACAAGAGAAGAAAATATAACTTAGTCCTATTGCATTACATATAAAGCAATACCATACTTAATTACTAGTTATTATTTACTTTCCATCACATAATTTCCCCATATAAAAGTAGGGATGTAATGTATTAACAAAATTCTTTTTCCAGCACTATGAACACTATGGCCCAAATTCAGAACAGTGATTTGAAACCACATGAAGGTTTAAACCAAGGATCGAGCGAAGATTGTTGGTATTCAGAATGCTAGCTTGACCCAACACAAAGTTTCAAATCGGGTTTGAGATCGGAATTGTCGATCCTCGCGTTAATTCAGCCTGGAAGCAGGTTTAACGGTCGATCTGTCATTCAAGACATCAAGTCGACATGAATTTTGACAGAGCGCTGTTTTCGGTTATACCATCAAATTGGAAATTTTGTAGAGAGAAGACTAATGGTACATAGGCAGAATCCTATAAATTTTTATGAAGGCATGCAATTTAAACAACAATATAGGTTCAGCAAGGGAGACTTCCTTGATATTTTCTGTGATATGGAGCAACTACTTGACAGACCTGTTGGCTATGGTTCACCTCTACCTCCCATTCATCAGCTGACGACTGTTTTGAGATTCTTCGCAACGAATAGTTTCCAAGTAAGAAAGATTCTGGTTACTGAATGAGTTATAGTAACGTGCTACAACACTTTCGTGTTTAGGGTCCATGAAGACCAAGCAGGTAAATGTAAAGAACACTTATGTTTCTTTATTCTGGGTATTTTTCTTTGGGAAAACTATTTTGATGTATTTTCAATATAACTGAATCAATGCCGAGTGTATTTTGATTTTAATGTATTAATAAAGGAAAGTCTTTTCTTAACATTACTAATCAGGGGAAATGTGGGGTAAAAAGAACAGAAAGAAACCTAACCTCACTGAACCTAGCAAGGTTACTACGCCCTGCATTGATTCATCTTGCTTTGGTTATGAATATTGACACCTGTTTCAGATTATATCTACAATTTGTATGTAATTGTTCTTCCTCTATGAATTTCTTTGTTATCATATAACAACACAGCACGTTGTAACACAGTACCATAAATCATTATAATTTTATCATAATTTGATTGCAATTATAGTAATATAAGTAACTTTTGATGTGCAAGGAGAGAGTTCTCGTCCTCCGTAAAAACTTGTTGAGTCATAGTTGCCACCATAATCTTGTAAACATTACTCTCGACGGTGATTGGCTGTTGTAATGATGTAACTGAAACGTGATTGGCTAGAATTTCAGTGTTCGAATCCTTGTTTGTAATTGAAGATAATGCAGCAGACTACTCGATCAGGGGTTCAAGTCGATGTTTTGAATATGGGTAACCCACTCCAGGAAATCTCGAATCGAGGAATTTATATTCGCAAGCCTGAGCCGAGATCAAATCTCAGGCTCAAATCATCGTTTTGAATTCGGGCCTTAGTGTTTCTGTGTAAAATGGCCCCTAAAAGACTGCCCAGTGTCAGTGTTAGTGGAATGAAATGTAAAAAGCAGAAGTCAGTGATGACCCTGACAAAAAAAGTTTTATTATTAGATAAATTAAAAGGGAGCTGTGCTGCTGCAGCTGATCAGCTGTGCATTAGTGCACTAAGGTAGTATAAGTTGCTATTCGCAGTTTTGCCAATTCGCGTTATTTCTTGGAACCTAACCCCTGCAAATGGCAAGGGTCTACTGTATATATAAAGAGAGAGAGCGAGGTGAGTGAGCAAGCTTGTGTGTTTGGTTAGCTTAAAGAAAATCTTTAATGTTACAGAAGCAAGGAAAAGAAAGATAGGATATTTTTCTTATATGTTCCAGGTGAGCAAAAATATTTTGCAGATTACAGGATGTAGCATAAGCATAAATCTGAATAATATAAAGCAAATGGTATAGAGAAAACTATCTCCCTCATGTCAGTCTTATTCCTACACTATAGAAATACCTCTATGAGATATGGGCTGGGTGAAACCAATACTCATTACTCGTACAGAGATGTTTTATAAAATCTCTTAAACTCTTTCCAGTCGAGCCTCTCTGAATCCTCTTCTCAAGGATAACTCTCCAGTTATTCCTCACACAATCTCCCATTTTTTTCCATAATGTACAATGAAAGACAAAAGTCATGTTGTGAAATTTGGTGAAAACATATGCCGAAGGGGTAAACTTTTGATGCGCTCTGCCTTGCGGTAGGGGGCACTCATGTTTTACGAGTTATATTTAATCTTCGGACAATACCGCGACGACTTTTGCCTTTGATTGTCAATAACTCTCATCAACTATTTATGAAAGGTCCAAAGCATTAAGCAACATTCCCACTTTCTATCCTATTCTAAACTTACACTTCTTAGTACTTGTAGATATATAACTATTTGCATGCAACTTGCAGAGCTTCTGTCTTCAAGACTTACAACCCTGTATCGTCGTTATATTTACTGTACACCCAATAATTTAAAGGGCTACCCGGGTTTTCAACCTCTAGACTTTATGGGAAATACATTACTGTAGTTGCTTAATTGAGGCATTAGGCATAAAAATTCTTAATTTTGTCTTTCATATATTTTTTCTTGAACATTTATTAAGCTGATACCTGTACCTGAATCAAAATTATTTATGTTCTACAAACCCCTATACCTGTATTTAAATAGTGGTACAAGTACATCATTACTCCCATCACTTGGTAGCTACAGTTCCTTTATTCCATATCCTCAGGCATAGTTACGTGGCAACACGTTAAGTTTATTAAAATAATTCTTATAATTACAACCCTTGTGAAGACCCCAAGCTTTATGAGCTATTGTTCTAAAATCTTCATAGTGACCTTTACTGCCTTTGCCTTTGTAAAATACCACATCCACTAGAATCATTTAAGCCCTGAATAAAAATCCCTTATTCCCTTCCATAATTCACATTCCCCCAAAACAAGTAAGGGAACTCCTTCAATATTTTATTCGTCACACAGCAAAGTAACCCCAAGCTAAGTGACTGATTGAATGATTCAATAATACAATGTACAATAATATCAAAGAATGTAAGGAGGTAAGAAACCTAAAATTTTAGTTTTCAAGTGTTTTTCCCATTCTGAGATCATAAAACATTCTGTGGTTGATTCTAGTGAACTTACATAAAAACATCTACAGGGAAACTCATGCAAAAATACACATGCAAGTACAAAGCATCCACAGCAACATGGATGCACAACTTGTTTGACTACATTTTGTATACTTTCCTCTAGGTGATTAATGAACTGATTCACACAATTGCAACCAATAGTCTTTTTTTGGTAAGTTGTCATTCTTAAATTTCTTCCAAAATTCTATATACTTAACCACTTACTGGATTTAGGTTTAATCAATTATACTTTATTATTCAACAAATGTACAAACCTTTTTACTGTTAAAACACTTATTTATAATAACTTTACCTCAGGATAAAGACAGTCTTGGCATCTATCAAGTCTCTTGGTGATGTACCCTCACTATTATTTCACACATACTGCATTAAAACACATAGCAATCAATTCAATCTATCTCCATTTACATCTCCCCATTCATTTACTTTATGTCGAATACTTAATGATATGTACAGGGGTACGATTTTGCTTTCCTTAATCCGCCACACATTCATTCCCTTTAAAATCTGTTCCAATCTTCGAGCTACAACACTACCACCACAAGTAATATAATTTTTTTCTTTATGGGGATTAGCCCACCCGGGCACAGGTCACTGACCCACATCAGGGCCTGGGGGGCGAAAATGTATAGCAAGGATCGGATTTCTTAATGGACAGACACAAACATTTAGCAATAAAGTGAGTACACCAGCGGGTGTACCTGAGCTGTCTGAGAATTGTAGGAACAACCCTTCAGTGGAGTAGCATCTTGCCAAGGGTGTAGGGTAAGCCTCTACCTGTTGAATGCTGTGAATCATGGATTGAGTACCTGCCCAGCCACTCAACATCATAGTAAGAAGCGGGGGTTTTGCTAAGAAATGAAGCAGCTATGCCTTACATAAAATACAGGAGGTCCCCGACTTACGAACGCCCGGCGATACGAACGGTGTTAAACTTGTAATTTACAGTATTTTATTTTCTTGATGACTTACTTTTTACTTTCATTTGCTGTATTTTGACATTCCATTTCTTCTTTTGTCTTAAATTAAGTGATTTTTGACGTATAGAAGGACTTAGGCTATGATATAGTGGGATTTTTACCATTGTTCTCTCTCTCATATATATATATATATATATATATATATATATATATATATATATATATATATATATATATATATATATATATATATATATATATATATATATATATATATATATATACACACATACATACATACAGTGGTCCCTCAGTTAACGAACGCCTAGGTTAACAAATAACCTTCCATAAGAATCTTCAATTCGGTTAACAAACAAAAATTCGATTAACGAAATCCTTACGAAAATCACGTTTTGTTGTGAGCATCAGCTGATGGCTCAGTCTGCCAATTCAGTAATCTGTTCTAAGTTTAAATTCGTTTCCAATGGAGAAAATATCAATAAATTTCAGCTTTTTAATATTTTTGAATGTTTTATATTAAAATTGTTAGTCATTTTAACATTAAATATTGATAATATATGCAGTACTGTAGAGGGAACTCACATACCAGTTTGTTGTTGTGAGAATCAGCTGAGGGGGTACAGTACTCAGCCAATTCAATAATCTGTTCTATGTTTAAATTTGTTTCCAATGGAGTAAATACCCTGTATCAATAAATTTGAGCTTTTTTAATATTTTTGAATGTTTTATATTAAAATTATTAGTCATTTTAACATTTATTTAACATAATGATAATATTATATGCAGTACTCCCTGTACAGGTTCAGTCTGGGTTTGTTTACTGTTCGTTAACCGAGGGACCACTGTACTGTATATCAATGTTTAAAACCCCACTATATCGTAGCCTAAGTCTTTCTATACATCTAAAATCACTCATTTTAAGACAAAAGAAGAAATAGAATGTCAAAATACAGCAAATGAAAGTAAAAAATAAATCAAGTAAATAAAATAATATAAATTTCAAGTTTAACCCCATTCGTATCAGCGGGCATTCCTAAGTCAGGGACCTCCTGTACGTGTACACACACACACACACAAAGTAATCTCTCCGTTAGCCAGAATTTTTGATCCCTCGAACTCTCCATTACCTATAAAAATCTGGGAGACTGCATCACATGCCGAACACACGGATTGGCTCCTACTGTCATGTGAGTGCATGGGATGCCTATGATTGGTTGATGTATCTCGCAGCCTATCTCCTCAAACTTTAGCATCATGGCACTTAGTTCATTGTCTGCTGCCATTCTACAAGCTTGTTTGCTCGCTCACTGCTGTTTTCATATACAATCTGTGCTGTGCAGTACTGTACCAGCATATAATCTGCCAAGAATACCGTTAAAGCAGTGTTAAGACATAAAAAGTGATTACAGTTAAGTATACTGTACTGTACATTCAGTAAGTGTGAAAGTACTGTATGTACAGTACTGTACTGTATCACCTGGTGAGTACAGTTTAATGTATACAGTAGTATATTTCGTTTATTTTCAATATATTGTTGTTTAGAGTAGTACATTTGCATAAATAAATACAGCTCTGTGCCTGTCCAACTACAGTCCAATGCAAAAACATTCAACAGTGCCTTGAAAACTTATGAGTTTGTGCAATTTTTTCCTCGGAAAGAGAAAATTCGTCTAAACACAGTACTGTACCTGCATACATATATAAGTTGGCAAGTAGTCACAATGTATCTCTGAAGTTATTATTCATATACAGTACACTAACATTATTTCTGAAGGCACCAAATTTATTCTTTGGGCGTAATACACTCTTCATGTAACACAGCCACAGCCACAGGAAAGGAATCATAATAATTGTGATGTATTGTTATGTTGCTTTGATTATAACAAGGACATATCAATAATATTACAGTATCAATATTATTTTTGGAGAATGCTAGTTGTTTGTTTTGACTGAAACTGTCAGGCAGTGTTGTCATTCCATTCATTTAGAAGTCAAAACACAGTACTGTGTCACTGCTTTAAATATATTATGATTAAATTGATTAAAGTAGTTTTCCAACAAAACACATGCTATGGTAACGATACAAATGTGTAGGTAGAGCGCGCCAGGATCAAGCAAGAAAACTATAAGTGAGTCATTTGACCAAGGTCCTGGTGCTTAACAAAACCCTGGGGAAAAGAATTGCAAGACTATAAGACAGAAGAATCAATGAAGCCTCTTACCCATGTCAGTTGTTGACCATATGGAGTGCTCTAAGGGGGGAGGTTGAAGCTGAGACAGCTGATCTGCAGTCATGTGGGCCAGCTGTGGAGGACCTTGTTGCTGCTGTGGTGGTTGTTGTTGCTGCTGTGGTTGTTGTTGTTGTTGCTGTTGTTGTTGCCCACTGGGAGGTTGTTGGTTACTGTTATTGTCACTCTGAGATGTTGGAGGATTTCCTTGAGGCTAAAAATAAAACAAACTTTTGTATTTCATATGAATCATATCAATCTCAGAGATATACCAACTTGTCTGACTGATAATTTAATTCAAGTGGTTTTCTTACCAATTTAAAATACAATTATTAGATGTAAACCCAATATAAATATTCTGAAAATAATCAGAGTAGCACAAAAAATACACCTACCGGGTATGAATGTAACACACAACTTTATATCCATCTCACACGATATAGGCATTTTTGGTCACTTAACTATTGCTACCATAAGTCATACTGGATTAACTATTGTACTATTCAAATATAAATCTATATACAATAAATTGGCACCAGGAATGTTTTGTCTGTCATAGACAGTTCGTTAGTGTATAGCCACACAAAGCCTACTTAAGGTAAACACTAATATTCCCTCCTTGGGGGTTGGGGGGTAGCAACATGTCGTGAGGTGCGTGAAATCCAAGAGTAAGAGCCCTACATTACAAAAGTTGAGCAAGTGAAAGATCAACTGCCTACTTGGCAACATAATCTAACCAGGTCCTTGTGGCGATTCAAACAGTACCCCGCAATTACAAAATGCCATAGAAGTGAACCGAAGCCCTGTAAACATATGTCATATGACAAGAACAGAAGACTAGGGGGCAAAAATTTTAAATACATATTTCATAAATTAGTATTTTCATTATTGTATACACTCTACAGTATGTGATTGATCCAGGACAAGTGAATTTGATGGGTGGGAGGGAAACACAGGGTTGAGCTGACACAAAACAGATGCATGTAGACATAACACCTCAAATTCTCTAGTTAGGCATTTGGAACAATGTCAACAGTTGGCTAAGTGGCAGGGCGCCATGATTATGCAGAAAGGGTTAGATAAGGGGATAAGAAAGGCCATAAAATCAGCATATATTTGTAAAAGTGAAGTAACAAACCAGAGGGAGGGTTTTATGTGCTGGTCGAAGCATGCCAAAGACCTAGCTGACGTCACACAGTAAGGTAATCATGTCAGGTAAATGACAGCCAATCAGTGTCCGACACGAGGTGAGGTGCACCCGGGGTACATAAGTCTCTGACTTCTTCCACTTGTTGTATGGTTTCTGAAGACGGGTTCAGTGTAGCCCAAAACATGAAGAGAAATAAAGTCAGCTCAACCCTGTTTCCCTCCCACCAATCAAATCCACTCTACAATATATTGGTAGCTGGTGTTTTTGGTTAATTTTAGACATGTAACGTACAGCTGCACTGAATTACATAAGTCCCTGTGCAGTACAGTATTTTCTCAATTTAACAAACTAATTCGAGCCACCCCTTTCCATTAAATTGAAATTTCCGCTAAATTTGAACTTTCCGCTATTTTCGCTTGATTTAGCGAAATCGCTAAATGGAGCAAGCTTCTGTTAAATTTCGCGTGGGGTTTGTTTACATCCGCTCAGTCTGTGTCCCGCCGCCACCGTGTGTGTTGTTCACTGCTACATCTCGGTCAACTAATGACTGTGCTTAGACATCATGCTGATAGTCTCTGAGAAGTCTCAGATGGGAAGTGGTGTTGGGGCGAAAGTCAAAAGATTGCGGCTATCAATTGGAAAAAAGTTTGGAATTTACAGAAAAAATTTAAAACAAACACCGAACCCCCCAAGTTTAAAGCAAGCCAGGTATAATGTACACATCATGTGTCTGAGGTGTTTCCGTAGGTGAGTGTATTAAGAGAATTAATCTCGATTTAGTGAACTAGTTCACTAAATCGAGTGAAAAATAACGGAAAAAATTCCTTCCGCTAATTCGAGTTCGTTATATTGGATTCCACTAAATCGAGAGTATACTGTATTCATACCAAAGGAACTGAGCAATGACATTAATGCTACAAAAAGTTATACAAAAAGAAGAAGAGGAAGGCAATCGTGTGATTGTTTGTAATATAACAGCAAAATTATCCTCGTTTCTCAGACCTCCTACCTCAACATGTGAGGACAATGTTACCGTTGTGATGTAAGCATTCATATGATCTTCACCATGTAGATATGAACATTAGCCCCAAAAAACTAAATGTGGATGGTAAAAAGTAAATTATGTAAGAGCAAATCCACCGCTTGTAGAGCCAGAATATATGAGGGAAAACTAAAAACTGTATTAGTGTTTCGGCGCAAGGGAAAATTTCAACATTACCTAACCCTAAGCTATTAATCCTTAAGCCCTGGGTTAGGGTGCTGCTGGCATCCCCGATAAACCGGGGGGGGAAAAAAGTGGCGGGAATAGGCAAACGTTCTGGAACATCACCCGGGGCGTGCTGGTCGGACATACTGGAACGTCACCCGGGGACTAAAGGTTAAGGTATTCAATATGCAGGTGCTGTATTGTACCATGAATTGTTATTCAGTTGCTAGATACATACATAAAAATTTACTTTTGTACAGTACTGTATTTTCAACTTGTGACAACATAACATGTGTGAAAACAAAGAGTGCCATGGTATATAATATGCCAGTTGCCATATTTGACCAAAGATTTTTGGGCATGACTGATTTTAGATACTGTGCAAGGTTTTGAATCTGATAATCTGCTCTTTTAAGTCTAGTAACAATTTATGTTCATGTGAAATTTCAACTACACACCAGCAAAGATGGAATTATTATACTTTACCTACGACAAGGAAAAAATTACGAACAACAAGACACAAGGACCGATTCATGGTATATTATGTTTTACGTCAATATTTTTATATAAAAATCAATAAAAGTAAACAAGGTTGTATTAACCATTAAGTACAAGAGCAACTAATAACAAGTTCTTTACCTGATAAGCCATTATGTGTACAGGCTGTGGATGGATGTGCCATTGTGGTGGTGGGTGTGGGGGCACCATCACCATGGGCTGCGAGGTACCAGTACTTGTAGAAAGGTTCTGTGGTTCATTCTGCAATTATTTATCTTTATGGAATATTACCAGATTTCATGAAATGCTTCATCAACACGTCTAAAATTATATAAACCATAAGCAACTGAATATTATAAAATTCAATATACAGTAGAGTACTGTACTATACATTTGATTTTGTAAAACATCATTAGTATCCTTATACAGTCTTATACAAATGAACTTATTACAGTACTTACCAGTGAAATTGCTTACATATAACCCAGTGAAACCCTTAAGGATACACATATTGCACACAACATTTAAAAACCTACAGTGCAGCATGACATAACCTACCCAAACAATGTCACAAACAGTGTAGTGTGCCTGTCAAAAAATTTATTGCATCATCACAATTCACTGAGAAACTTTGAAATATGTAAAACTCTGCTTATACACTAACTATTAACATCATGTCAACATCCTTTGTATAACAGATAATTAACTTTTCAAATGCCAAAATACTACATGCAATGCAACAAGACATTTTTTAAGTGAGAAGGAACACTGACGGATAACTCCACAAATAAAGATAGCCTACTGTCCTATTCATACGGTCACATTCTCAATCAGGAAAAAAAATCTACAATGATGAAATAGTTTCCTTCTTTCCTTTACCTCTCCATGATTCTCCTAAACAGTCCTGGTTACAACTCTGTTGACAACAGTCTCATATCTTGGGTTTAACACTCTTGTTGACTGATTGCTCCCACCTCTCCTAGTACAGTACTGTACATAATCTAACCAGTGACATACCCAGGATTTATAAAATGAAGGGGCACAATGATCATTTTTGCAAGTTATACCTATTCCTATATACTGTATAAAAAAGTAGTACACAGCACATTTCACAATTACTGTACTCTATTTTCCTAATAGAATCTCACAACTTAATAGACATTCCCCTTCCCTTTCCTCAATAGCAAACCAACTGCGACTACAACTTTGGTAATATTTTTTTTGTTTTACTCTTAACAGCTATCATTAAAAAGTAATGAATATTTCAGTTTATTTTCTTTCATTACTTATGTAAATAAAAGCTCAGTACGTGGAGAAAAATGTGGACAATCATTACTTCTTTTTAACTACTAATATACCGTATAATGATATGCCTGCTTAGTCTTAGCACTGATTCCCTGCTCTACTGTACTAGTATTGGAAAGATATAATAAAATTTCTGATAATTTATACCTAATCATTACATAAACAAAGTTAAGAGTGCTCGTCACATTGACAACTAATGAAAATAAGGACAAATAATCTGAGCTTATATTTTTCATGTACTGTACTGTATTGTAATCATTTAATAACTTATTACAAGAAACATACTGTATTAAAAAATATTGAATGTTTCTCTAAGAAATGAAACATAATACATATTTCATGTCTAATTAAATATCCAGTCATTCTGTATTTGGAAGCAGTTGTCACTACATACTGTTAGAAATTGGTTGCACAGAATTATAATATTAATATTCTGGTATAGGGTACAATACTGTACAGGGGCTATGATATAATTTTACTAGGTTAGACATTTAGTTGTAGACTGTATGTCTCAATATGTAGTTTAAAATAAAAAAAGTTCTATGACACATTCGCCCCCAAGAATTTTGGATAAAGGATTCTCAACCTGAATACCGTATTTAGGTTTCAGATAATACCCGTATGTGTTTGTGGGGCCATTGATAGATCATTTGAAGTACTGTACTGCACTGTACAGTATGTTGTCATCCTCCCACAAAATTAATGCTCTACATAGGTTCAGCTTCTAACTATACATATTAAATATTATGAAATACTAAAAAAAAATTAAAATTTAAAATAGTGTGGATGATACTACTCACCTGTGTGGAGCGGGGAGCCCCGATGATGTTAAACGAGCGAAGCACCTCGCTAGCTTCCTTCTCTGCTTGGCCATGTCCGTCCATACCTCACTGCAAATTGCATGTCTAGATAACAATAGTAAACTTTTCATTAAACATTAGTTCCCGGCAGCATCGGAAGGAGGAAAGTACAGTATTGGAACAGCCCTACAGCCATGTTATCAGCTTTGTTGTCCCTATAGCTAATGCAGTGCTGTATGAAACACTCTTTCATTGTCAGATCCTACACATATAAACTGACTGCTATATTATGGAAAGATATTTTCCTGCCTTTTTCTTAAATATATACACAGTACATAATAGCATTTTCAATGAACATAACACAAAATGGCACACACGGCTGATTGTCAACTTTGTCGCTGGTACTGTAGTAATTTTTCAAAGATGTGAATAAAAAAATTTGGTATTTCTTTTGGAGCTCACCAATGCCAAAATGAACTTTAATGACTTTTACTCATTAAATATCAAATATTATCTGATTACCTTCGTGAACACAGTATCTAAGTGATAAATGAAAAAATTCCAGTGAACCCAGCCTTAACAGAAAACAAAGTACAGTGCTACATTCTTATAATGTATAATTTTCTTATCATCTCCCATACAAGTTACTCAACTTAAGTCAACAATGTGACAGCTGTACAAATTTCCTTTAAAATGCAAATGTTAAAATAATGTTTTACATTTACAATAATAACAGTTTATTACATTTAAAGAATGCATACTTAATTACTTGTCCACATGATTACATTGCTCTTAATACCTGTGCCCAAGTATTGTACTGTACTGCATGACCAGGTAAAACAGTCTTTTCAGTTTCATTTACCATGTCTAAAAAAATAAATACAGTACATATGTTTTTGAATGCAGATTTTCCTGCCATTTTAAAAAATATATAACATATATACATTTTTTTTTAGAAATGATTTTTGAAAAAGAGATAGTACTGTACAGTATTACGTATTTCTATTAGGTTAGGTTTTTTCCAAGGAAATTAACAAATAGAAAAGAACATAACGATTTACATAATACCTTGTACAGTATTACATATATGAATATATAAATATATGTTCATATAACATGGAAATGAACCAGAAATTTAAAGAGAGAATTCAGAAATATTCTTCAGTAAATAATTGCTTGAAGAGATCTCTGTTTCTATGCATGCGGCACCAAACTAACTGGCAGAGATACAGTTCAATTTTGTTAGGTTAGGTCAAAAAATTATTTATATTCTGTATATATAAAAAATGGAATTGGCAGGAAAATCTACATAAAATAACACATTTCTATATTTTTAGACATGGTACATGAAACCAAAAAGATCTGGTAAAACAATATTACAGTATTTTTAGTTACTGTAAATGTTAAAAAATAAAGCTAAAGCCATGCCACAGTACACCTTCATAGTAAACTGCACTCTCCATTGCTATAATAAGAGTGATCATCCATAAATACAGTACAGGTATATATTATTACCTGTATAATGAATATTTACAATAACTGATTCAGAATTATATGGATAGCATTTCATTTCTTAATCATCCCTGTTAAGTGCTTCAATTTCTTTTCGTAATACTGTACTATAAAACCCAAACATACTAGTAAAACAAGCTCCGAGTAGTACAGTAATGCCTTGAACTACACATTAAAATTCGGCCAAAAAAAAGTGGAGTTCTATACTAATACAGTAATTCTATATCAAATTAAAATTAAAGATTTTCTAATATCTCAATGCAATTATTACTGACAATTCCTTACATTAATGTAATGAAAAAGATGTGTACTATATGAGTACAAATATCACAGAGTAAACATTAAAAATATATAAACTTCTCATAATCCCATCACTCAAGAAATCTTAAATTAGGACATTAAATCAATGTTGTGGATATTTGTCTGGTTGTTGGTTAGTGTAGGTTTTTTAAACTGACATCAGAAGTTGATAGAACAGGACAAAGCTTTGTGGAAACATTTATTACAATCAATTAAATAGATATATGGAAATGAGAAACCATTCAGTGTTGTTAGGCATGTTTTAAAAGGTTTTTCCTGGTAAGTGTGGTAGGGTTAGATAGTTTACTTTAGGTTATGTTGGTTAAGTCACGTTCTAATAGGTTCTGTACATTCTCATTTCCATTTATCTATTTAATAGATTGTAGATAATGTTTCCACATAGTTTAATATATCACCTCCTTCTGGTGTTAGTCTAAAAAAATCTACCTAACCAAAAACTGGACAAATATCCACAGCCTTAAATCAATCATGTAAGAATACTGTATTATACCCTGCTCAGTATGGTACTGTAGTATACTGTAAAAAGATTGTAGTACACAGTGTATCATTTATTTCTTGACCATCCATGTAGTGTAATTATTGATTTAGTTAAAAGTACATAAAGCAATGAACCCGCAACAATGACAACATTAGAGCATTTGATCACCACATGAACACAATGATGACAACATTAGAGCATTTGATCACCACATGAACACAATGATGACAACATTAGAGCATTTGATCACCACATGAACACAATGATGACAACATTAGAGCATTTGATCACCACATGAACACAATGATGACAACATGAAAGCATTTGATCACCACATGAACACAATGATGACAACATTAGAGCATTAGATCACCACATGAACACAATGATGACAACATTAGAGCATTTGATCACCACATGAACACAATGATGACAACATTAGAGCATTTGATCACCACATGAACACAATGATGACAACATTAGAGCATTTGATCACCACATGAACACAATGATGACAACATTAAAGCATTAGATCACCACATGAACACAATGATGACAACATGAAAGCATTTGATCACCACATGAACACAATGATGACAACATTAGAGCATTAGATCACCACATGAACACAATGATGACATTATTAGAGCATTTGATCATCACATGAACACAATGATGATAACATTATAGCATTTGATCACCACATGAACACAATGATGACAACATTAGAGCATTTGATCACTACATGAACACAATGATGACAA